ATAAATAAAATAAAAATAAAAACATTTTATTGAGATCTAATTCACATACCGTATAATTTGCCCTTTTAAAGTGTACAGTCAGTAAGATTTACCAGATAGATGATGGTCCTTTGACTTAAGATGGTTTGACTTTGCTTTTTCGACTTTACGATGGCACTCAAGTAATAACACATTCAGTAGAAACTACTTCGAATTTTGAATTTGCATCTTCCGCTGGGCTAGCGATCTGTAGCACGGTCCTCCCTGGGGAGGTGGGGGCAGGAGCCGAAGCTCCCGTCAGCCACGCGCTCACGAGGGTAAACGACCGACAAACTGACGGCCATCCCGTTTTTCTCTTTCAGTACGGTATTCACTATATTACATGAGATACTGCTCAGCACTTCATTATGAAATGGGCTCTGTGGGAGGCGATTTTGCCCAACTGTAGGCTGATGTCAGTGTTCCGAGCACGTTTAAGTTCTGCAGGGTGCGTTAGTGCATTTTCGACTTCTGATAATTTCAACTTACGAGGGGCTTCTCGAGCCGTAACCCTGTCGTAAGTTGCAGAAGGTCTGTATTCAGAGTTGTGCAGCCATCACCGCCATCCGATTTTATCAGCCCCAGAGGAAACGCTGTGCTCGCCACCAGTCCCTCAGCCCCGGGCAGCCGCTCGTCTACTTTCTGTCATTTTGGATTTGCCTGTTGTGGACGTTTCACATAAACAGAATCATAGAGTATGTGACCTTTTTTTGTGACTGGTTTCTGTCACTGAACACCGTGTCTTCCTCCATGTCGTAGCAGGTGTCAGTACCTTGTTCCTTCCTGTGGTTCATAACACTCCCCTGTGTGGTTGGACCACGTTTTGTTCATCTGTCCATCAGTGGGTGGGCATTCAGGTTGTCTCCAGCTTTGGGTTATTAATGGACAATGCTGTACAAATCTTTGTGTGGATGTATTCATTTCTCTTGGCTATGATTTGCTTTTTAATTTAATTTATTTTTGGGGCACCTAGGTGGCTCAGTCGGTTAAGCGTCTGCCTTCAGCTCAGGTCATGATCCCAGGATCGTCGGGCTCTCTGCTCCTCGGGAAGTCTGCTTCTCCCTCTGGCCTCTGTCCCTACCCACTGTTCATGCTCGCTCGCTCTCAAATAAATAAAATCTTTAAAAAAAAAATTTATTTTTTAAAACAATTTATCTATTTTACTTTTTTAAAGATTTTATTTATTTGACAGAGAGAGACACAGTGAGAGAGGGAACACAAGCAGGGGGAGTGGCAGAGGGAGAAGCAGACTTCCCCACGGAGCAGGGAGCCCTATGCGGGGCTCGATCCCAGGACCCCGGGATCATGACCTGAGCCGAAGGCAGACGCTTAACAACTGAGCCACCCAGGCACCCCTAAAACAATTTATTTTAGCGAAAGGGGGCAGGGGGAGGAGCAGAGGGAGAGGGAGAGAAGCAGACTCCCTGCTGAGTGCAGGGCCCAGCACAGGGCTAGACCTTAGGACCGGACCTCAGGACCCTGAGATAACGACCTGAACCGAAATCATGAGTTAGCTGCTCAACCGACTAAGCCACCCAGTCCCCCTTTAATTTTATTTTTTAAAGATTTTGTTTATTTATTTGTCAGAGAGCGAGCGAGAGCGCATGCACAAGCAGAGGGAGCGGCAGAGAGAGGGAGAAGCAGACTCCCTGCCGAGCTCGATCCTAGGACCCTGGGCTCATGACCTGAGCCGAAGGCAGACATTTAACCGACTGAGCCACCCAGGGGTCCCAAGACTTTTTTATAGTAGTTTCAAGTTCGCAGCACAATTAAGAGGAAGGCGTGGAGATCTCCCGTATCTCCCCGTTCCCACACATGCATAACTTGAATCATATTGTGGACATCTTGGAGATGGCCTGGTGGCTGGAGTGGCTTCTTTGCTGGGTTTCCCTACCAAACCCCTCATGGCTTCCATTTATTTTCCTGAGAGCCATGTCCCCCTCCTCTTCTGTCCTTTGCCTTTTCTCTATTTCTCGGTGTCCGTCTGGCCTAGGGCTTGCAGAGACCCTTCTCTGGATGCCCCTCTGGGGCAGGAGAGCCCGAGGTGCCATGGGCGAGGCTCCCACCCGTGCTTGCGTTGGGGAAGAGTGGGGCCTGGGCTGGACAGCCCAGTGTGGCTCTGGCCAGTACCAGCTCTTCCTCCCGACCTGGGCAGCTGCTCTCCCCGAAGAAAAGCCTCTCTTCCTGCATTAAAAATAAATGTTCCCCTCAGACTGTGGGGTGGGTGCAAGTCACTGTCCTCCCCCAGCGTACTTAGCTCCAGGGAGTGAGTCGGGTGCGGGGCGTTTTAGGGGAGATGATCCTCACTCCCTGAGCCCTGTAGCCCCTGGTGCCCCGGTGTGATGTGGCTGTGGCGCCATCTTCAGAGGCACAGGCCACGTAACTGGCTGGCAGGTGGGGGGTGGCAGCTCCCTATGTGGAGGCTTGTCGTGGCTGGGCGTTCGAGGGCGGCGCGGTGCCGGGCCCTGGTGCCAGGGAGAGCTGGGGTCCCGTGTCCCTTCATTTCCATCGCGCTCCCCTAGCCTCAGCTGGCCAGGGCGGGTCTTCTCTCAGGCCTTGCCGAGTCTGTTTAAGGAATACCGAGCGTCGGCCGCTGCCCTGGGCTCCGTGGCTGTGGTCGCCGGGTGAATGTTAGCAGGAGGCGCCAGCAGGCCTGCCGCCACAGAGCCTTCGGACATTGTCTGTGTCAGGACAGTTTTGGTTGAGCGGCCGAAACACGTTTCAGTATGACTTAAGACAGGAAGACCAAGGTCTGTCCATTGTGCGCCCCGTGTGCCCGCGAGACTGGAGAGCAGGGCTCGGGTCACTGACTGCTGGTGGAGCCACCGCGCAGACCAGGACCAGCGAAACACGACTGGTGCTGAGGCTGCACTCAGTGTGCAAGGGAGAAAGAAAATGCCAGTCACTCGTGGCTTCTCAGAGCCCTGAGTTTGTTGTTAACCGCCCCCTGCCCCCCAGCAGCACCAGGGATTCTATTCCAGAAACTGACCGGACTTGCAGCGGCAAGTAGGCTGTGTGCACAAAGCTCTGCTCCCCATCGGGCTCTTACTTGAACCCTCCCCTTCCTGGGCTTGATTATAGCCCTTGGAAGGGCAGTGCCTGCACGTCACCCAGTGTCCACGTCACCAGGGTAACTGCAGGATGGTCACAGCAGGATGGCCCCCTGTGCCCTGACTCAGGGTGGGGAAGGCAGAAACAGGCTTGCAGAGGGGCCCCTGTCCCCTGCATAGCTGTGGATGACTTGTATCTCCTGTCTCAGGTGATCACCTCTGCCACCCCCCATGAGTCACCCCAGAGCAAGGCAGGCATTGCAGAGAGGGGCCCTTCCCTCTTCAAAGTCTGGATTTCTGTGGTACAGCCCTCTACCCTGAGGCTACAGCGAGCATGAGGCCTGGCTGGGTCCTGGGGGGCCTGAACACGCCCTCCACCTCCCCACATGGAGCTAGTGTGCACATGGGTTCCTAGAGTCCTGCATGCTTGGGAGTCCATGCCCTGTGTCTCTCCGTGAGGCCCTTCTGGGCCACCGTCCCCCTTAGCTCCTGCTGCCTGAACATGCCAAGCTCTGCATGGCTGGTGCTCACTGCGTGTTTTCTCAGCCACCACGCGCACCAGGCACAGCTTTTATCCCTGTTTTACAGACGGGGAAACTGAGGCTCAGGTGGTGGAGCCAGTCTTGATCCCAGTACCTGGTCCCTCCCAGTCCCACCTCCCACTGGCAGTCTGGGACCCACAGGCACCTTCTGGGCCTCCCTTTGCAGCCCTGCCTGGGGTGTCCTCAGCTGGTCGCGTCTGTGCTGTGGATCCTGGCCTGTGGCCCCTGCTGCTGAGCAGATGTGGAGACCATGCTCAGGTAGATATGTGTGGGGAGGAGAGTGGCCTTTGGCCAGGGAGCAGCCGGGAGCCACGCAGCCAGCTGTGTGGCCACATTGTGGCCACTTTCCTTCTGCCCTTGGGGGGGGGCAGGCCAGGCACTTTCTTTACGAAGCTGAACACCGGGTCCCCCGGGGCTCAGACAGATGCCATTGGTGCTGTCTGCTCCCTTGGTGTGCGTAGCAGCCTGAAGGGGGACAGCCCCGGTGTCCCTTAGCAGGCGAATGGGTGAGCAGGGTCTGGCTGTGCAGCAGAGGAGTACTCAGCCCAGGGAGGAAGCACTGATGTGTGCGGTGAACCTCGAAGACGTGGTGCTCAGTGAACAAGCCAGACGGGAAAGATATGTGCTGTGAGGTCCGACTTCCGTGAAATGTGCAGACCAGGCAAATCCGTGGACGTCAAGTGGCGTGGGGCTTACCCGGTGGGGAGGGTGTGTGGTCATGGGGACAGGGTTCCCGTTGGGATGATGAGCGTGCTCTGGAAATGGATGGTGGTGGTGGTTAACGTGGCCTTACAGATGCACTTAGTGCTACTGAGTTACACAGATTTGCCATTTTAATCATTTTTATCGATTTTGCCAAAAGGGAAAAAGAGGTGCAGCCAGCTGTCTTGTCTTCCCTCGCCATTTTGTCTGACTTTGTGAGCTCCACCGCGGCACCATCCTGCTCACCGCACCTCCTCCCTCCAGCTCAGTCTGACTGTTCTCGCCTCCTTTTCTCCTCAGTTGAACTTTGACCTGGACCGGGGCATGTTTCCAGTGGTCATCCAGGCCGTGGTGGATGAAGGAGACGGTGAGCGGCCTTTCCTCGTCTGTCTCCCTTTCGGGCTGTGGGCCCTTCTCACCTCAGTCAGCAGGGAGGAGTTTATTCCAGAAGTGGTGAAAGACAGCTCAGCCCACTCAGCACATTTAGGGCCAGGGGGTTCAAGCCCCAAGCTGGGCTGCGGGGCCTCCTCTTGAGCTCCTTCTCCCGACTCAGCTCCTTCCCAGTGACTCACCTCCGCGGTGACAGCAGCTAGCCAGGCCTCGGCTTGTGGTGGTCCACGCTCAGCGGGATGCCGGGAGACAGCAGAGAAGGCGCAGAGCAGGGTGGGCCCCATGCTGGGGGCTGTCAGCGCATCAGGCCACGCTGATTGGCTGACCGGCCCTTTCTCCCTCTGCCGGTCTTGCTGGGTCTCTCCCATGCCACTACTGTGGGCTGCGGTCCTCCAGCCTAGAGCATGGGCCCCCCCCTCCCCCCGCCCCCGGCTGAGTCCTGGCTTCTCAGCCCTGTCGGAATGTTCCTCTGTGCAGAGCCAGGAGGCGGCACGTGGAGGCGCTTTGGGGGAGGTATGGCTAGTGGGAGCAGCGGGCCCCGCAGGCAGAGGAAGGCAAGATGAGGACGCTCCTCCTGTGGGCTTGGGCTCTCCAGCTGAGAGCATAGGGAAGCTCCAGCTCAGAAGGAGAAGTTCAGGGTAGGGGCAGAGGAGGGGTTGAGGCCAGCTCTGACCGCTCCCTCCTCTCTCTCCTGGGCAGTTGTGGAAGTGACCGGCCACGCCCACGTGCTCTTAGCCGCCTTTGAAAAGGTAAGTGCCTTTGCCCTTGACCAGGGAACCCTGCCTCTGCCTGTGACCAGGGAGCGCGGGTGTTTTGAGACTAGAAGTCTGAACTTGGGGTCAGGGCTTGGCCAGATGGGCCTAGTGCCAGAGGATCGGGGCAGGTGGGAGGCACTCCAATTACTCTGGGCTCCAGGAGGCCAGGCCTCAAGACAGCACCACCTTTGGAAGGGTTTTCAAAGGGCATCTAGTGTGTGGTGAGGGGCCGTGTTCTAGGGAGGCCAGCCATTTGGAACTCCCTATAACCTACCAGCACAGGGGCCCGGACACCCACGTGGAGGGCTCTCATCACAGACCAGCTTTTCTGCGGGATGTGGACGGATCATCCAGGTTGTCACCTCTCAGGACCCCTGCCTTTCCCACCAGGCCCATTGGAGCCTCTCAGCCTGGCCTGGTCCTCACATGCATGCTCTGCCCTGCCTCCAGGTGGCTGTGTCACCCGGTCCCGCAGGCCTACATTGACCTCACTCCCCACTGGGCCCTTTCAGACTTCCGGGACAGACATTTGTGGTACTTACCCTCTGATGTCCTTGAGGACAGAACTGGGCCCCTTGTTATTTGTGTCCTTGGTATGTAGTAGATGCTCAGTGATTGCTGGTGGGGTTGCTGAGGGTCTGCCACCTGTCTAGCATGGCCCCAGACCCTCTGTGGTACAAAAAGAAAACATCCAGGCCCTCCTGGAGTCCCTGAGTTGTGGGTGCCTCTCATACAGAGGCCATTTACGTGCAAGGATTCACTTAATATTACCTTTGGCCTGATGCATATTTGAACTTAGATGTTTTCCCGTTTCTTCCATGCAGATCCCAGTCCCCAGTCTCCCCAGCTGTTCATGTTTTGTGGCCACGTTACGTAGGGTGCTGTGGGGAGAGAATGGTCAGCCTCACCATCGTCTCTGCGTTAGGATGTCATGGGGTCTAGGGACGGTCCCAGTTACCAATCACTGCTGTTCATGGGGGCCAGGCAGTTGTGTGTGTGTGTGTTAATGCAGCAGGGAAGAAATCCCTACTCACGGAGACCCTTGCTGGAGGTAATGGGGTGTGTCCCCTGTTGGAGAATGTCATGTCTGACGGCCCCTTCCCCCCCGGGGCTCTTTGACACTGGCCTGCACTCTGCAGTTATAAAGTGTTTCCGGCATCAGCCTGTGGCCTGGGTGGACAAGGTTCAGGGACGCCCCCCATGAGGAAACCAGGCTCGGGCTGCTTTTCTGGGCTTTGCACCACACATGGGCAACCTGCTAATGCTTCCTCAGCCCGGTGTGTGTCTGCAGCCTTGAGAGCGTTGAGGGCAGCGCCCAGCTCCTCCCTGTGATCTGGGTCTTTCCAGACTCCCCGGGGAGTTAGGACAGCTGGGCCCAAGGACCCTGTGGCCCATTTGTCCTGTGCTCCCCCTGGCCCCTGGGGCTGTGGTCGCACGGAGCGCCCAGGGCAGAAGGCGGGCCTCTCTCTCACCGACTGCACTCCCCAAGCCCGGCCTTGTCGGAAGAGATGATAACTGCTGTGTGCTTCTCTGGTGAGGTGGGTGGGCCGTCGACGGCAAACTCCACCTGCGCTTCCGGTTTAGAGCCCAGTGAGAAACTGCTTTACATTTGGAATCCATCATACTGAAAATGCTGAGCGCTGGAATCAGTTGATTCTGAGGGGTAACTGGTGTTGTCACGAGATCTCAGATCTCATACCTTCATTAACCTCGAACTCTGGGCGGTGTGTCTCCCCAGATGCCACCAGACACATTTACCCTCTTTAGTTGTTAGAGTTTTTAGGATTTTGGGCTTTCCCGTATACATATGCGTGTGTACGTTTGTCTTCTCAACAAAACCAAGCCCTTTTGGGGTCAGAAGTGGGCTGTGTGAGTTCTTGCCATCCAGGTGCTGCTGCTTGCTGTTGGGGGCTCTGCTCTGTTGTCAGAACTTGCCCGATGGTTGTAAGCCTGAGTGTGCTTGGGCACTACCCAGAGAGTTGGGTGGACCCAGGAGGCAGACCTCCAGGTAGTTTCGAGGCCCAGTCGGAGGGCCACATTTGGAGAGACCTGGCTGGGCTCCGTCCTTCAGCCATGGATGTGGAACGGCCGACGAAGGGCCTTCAGCTTCCCGGCGGGAGTGCTAAGTGATACCAGCTTGACTGAGTTCACCTTTGTCTTTCTTCCCTGTAGCATGTTGACGGCAGCTTCTCTGTGAAACCTTTAAAGCAGAAGCAAATTGTAAGTCTGGTAGAAGAAATATTGTGGCCCCTTTTGATTTAAAAGACACACACACGCACGCACACACACACACACACGTCTCACTCTGCAGAGTCATCGTCTGGGCTCTGGGAAATCCGGCTCTGCCTCCTCGGGTGCATGCGTGTGCCCACCGTGTCCCAGTATTGGCTCGTAGCCCCAAGTCTTGTCTGGCTTGATACGGAGTGTTTGCGTCCGTAGGGCTGTGTGGGAAATGCAGCGACTCAGACCACTTCTGAACATGGTCAGCGTGAGGTCTGACTCTGGTCACTCTTGTGCGGCTAGTGACGGGTGGGTCCAAAGTGGTTTTTCTCTGGGGAGGGGGATGGCAAGGTGGGCATGGGGTATGGTTGCCTGGCCCATATAGAGGTTGGCTCCATGCCCCCTGGTGGGCAGAACCACCGCCCCCCCCCCCC